CCTATCAGTCGTCACCAGTCTGCACCAACATTGAACCAAGCAGCACCTGGGTCAGGTATCGGCCGCAGCATCTTAATCAAACTGTGTTTGCAGCAGGAACACATCAGTTCACACTGAAGTACAGAGAAGTTAGTTTTTTATGGAGGTATCGATCTATTAGCTCAGGATTTATTAGTATCAATGCAATATACAGAGTGGTACTTACACAGAGTAAACCTGCTACTTGTGTAGTAATGTACAGGGTACTCACAAAGAAAAGGACAGAGTAATTACAGGGTTTACAACAAGGTAAAAACATTTCCCTGCAAGTATCTCTTTACTTACCCAGTACCGTACCCTATAAATACTTCATATATCACTTCATTATCATGTTGTACGTTGGATATACGTTTCCTCATGATTACCATGTGCAGTACTGAGTAGTTACCCTGTACATTGTCCCATAGTTACCCTGTATGTTACACCTTAGTTACCCTGTACATTAATGAGTAGTTACCCGATCCCTTACCCCTTAGCTACCCTTTACGTTACACAGTATTTATTCATTGTTTATTACTCCCCAATGGGGAAATCATATACCCTGTACATTACCCAGTATTTTCTTTTTACATTACATTGTAGGTTACCTAGTAGTTACTCTGTACATTACCCATTAATTACCCTGTATGTTACCCAGTAATTATCCTATAGGTTTTCTTGTAGTTACCCAGTAGTTACCTTGTACGTTACCAGTAGCTACCCTGCACATTACCCCGAGTTACCCTGTACATGGCCCCATTGTTACCCAGTCAGCCTCCCCACCATCACACACATCTACATCCCCAGATGCAGGAAGAGAGCCACCTGCATCATGAAGGACCCCACTCACCCAGCACACACTTTTTGCCCCGCTCCCCTCAGGCAGGAGGTTGAGGAGCATTAAGTGTAGAACCACTAGACTGAGGAACAGCTTCTACCCTAAAGCTGTTAGACTCATAAATCTAACCAGAAAAATCACTGTAATGGCATTTTACTTGGTGAAATGTGACTTTTCTGTGCTGCTGATTATGTCATACTGCTGATCACATGCTGCTGATTATCTCATACTGCTGATCACATACTGCTCACCACAGACTCATGTTCAAGTTGCTGTTGAGACGTCGTACTGTTTTACATTATTAGTCTTAGACCAGGGGTGTCAAACTAATTTCCACCGAGGGGCCACATCAGCATGAAGGTTGCCCTCAAGGGGCCAGATGTAAATGTAAGACAGTACAAATGTAGCTCCATTTAACTAAATGTAATGTAAAATAAATGCAACTACCCCTTAATGTTACATATCTCTAGATTTTTTACTTGTTCAATTTACAAATATTACATATATATGTTTGCATAGATGTAGAAAAATATGTTTTCTTGTTGCTCTAACATAAAACCTTTGAACCCGTCAGGTTATGACTCCCTCACTACTCCATGAATCAATGATCAAACTTTCCAAGTTAATAAGGAAAAATCACAAATTATGACATCAACTTTGTTCTAAACTTTTTTGTTATAGTTAAGAGGGGCAGAATAACGGTCCAGCCAACAATTGTGAGCTGCTAAGAACATGTGACAGGTGTAGCATTTAAAAAAAACAAATGGCTGCACACAGCCTGGCAAGGGTCTTACATCCAACTAATGAGAGATGGTTTTATTATAGACAACATTTACCTGCATAAACATAAACCTGCAATCCCACATACATTGCTGCAAATATAACATCGTTTAATAAAAAAATACATTTAATAAGTATAATAAACTCAAAATAACAACATCAAGGTTCATGCTCAATAATCCAGGTAAAAAAAATCCAACAGTGTTCAGTCAGGTCATCTGGACAGTTTTTTTTTTTTCGTTGAGAGACGTTTTGTCCTCCATCCGAAGGGTTTCATCAGTCTGAGCAGTCACAGTCTGTTTTCCTCACTAAGCAGTACTCCTGCCGTGGACCACCCAGTTCTCTGGTGATAAAATAACAACATTAGGGTTGAAGGCTCACTTTGGCATGCTCAGCTTCGTGCCACCACTGCCTCATAACACAAAAGACATGGCGGTTTCTCTCCTTGAAGCACAAACGTATCTTCGTCGTCCTGCCTTTCTTGAAACCGTCTTCCACCTGCATCAGTTTTTTTTCTTCCTGGGCATTTTGGCATCACTGTTTGTATTTCTCAATTCCACTTATTCAGAAAATTGTATTGATGTGGAAAAACTGCAGTCTAGTGAAGGGGTGCCGTTACTTTGCAGGTGACATAATTGGCATGCATTATGGCAAATGTAGGTTGTTGTCCATGCACACTTTTGACATTTATTATACAACAATCAGACCTTTTAATCTCTCGCGGGCCACGTAAAATGACGTGGCGGGCCACATCTGGCCCGCGGGCCTCGAGTTTGACACATATGTCTTAGACCCTTATTTACTATTTTTACACTTTAAATTTTTGCTTTTTTTTTGTGTGTGTAACTGGGACCCTGAGTACATAATGTCGTTCCACCTCATGCACCACATGTGATGCGAATGACAATAAACTTGACTTGAACTTGAACTATAGGTTACTTGTCCAAAATGCTGCAGCTCTGCTACTAACAGGAACTCACAGGTTTGAGCACATTACTCCGGTTCTGTCCGCCCTTCACTGGCTTCCTGTGCATGTCAGAGTCGATTTTAAAATTCTCCTGCTGACATTCAAGTGCATTAATGGCCTTGCACCGTCATACCTCTCTGACCTTCTTCATCCTTATGCTCCTTCTCGGGCCTTGAGATCATCAGACCAGCTGCTTTTGGCCGTACCAAAAACCAGCTGAAGCTGAGGAGATCGAGCGTTTTCAGTCATGGTCCTAAACTCTGGAACAATCTGACCAACATTCGACAGGCCACCTCAGTCTCTGCTTTTAAATCTCTCCTCAAAGCACATCTGTACTCACTGACACATCTGTACTCACTGACACATCTGTAC